TTGAAAGCAAAATGAATTTCTGCCATTTCAGATAAGTTTGTAATCCTCCTAGTGAAATATGAAGAAATATAGAGTATGGAAAGACTTAATACTCAAAGCCAAAGTCTGGGTCAAAAATGAAACAATTTCACATTTGTATATGAATGCTGTAGGTAAAGTAATGATGGGAGAAGGTGTTTATACCAAAAAAGAGAGAGAGAGAGACAGACAGAGAGAGAGAGAGAGAGAGAGAGAGAGAGAGAGAGAGAGAGAGAGGGAGAGAGGGGAAAGAACGAAAAGCCTTGCTTGGAACAGTAAGAGGTAGGAAAACCTAACCAATTAATGTCTATTCCCAGCTGTACTCCTTGATTCTTACTTCCACCCCCACTGCTGCTATAGGATTTGGGAGTGAGGGGAAATAGTCTCCTGGGAGGGTAAACTCTCCTTTAAGTTACTCTTACGTGGAAAACTTGGACTCTTCTTAAGTCAGATATTTCCAAACCTGTGGATAGGCACCAGAAGAAAGGTAGACTTCAGTAGGCCCGATAAGATTTCAGGAGAAAGTGAAACCTGTCTTGTGTCAAAATAGGAAACTGCTACACACATAAAAGCAACCCCCCAAGAAACAGTACATTTGGAGTTAAAGCTATAGCAATTGTTAAAATTTTCATTCTGTTCGGTAAATAGTATAAGTTATTGAAACACAAGGCTAATGAGGTCTCCTTTTGGGTGACTATGAAGTCAGGAACAGGGCCTAGGAGCAAAGTGAATGTGGATAGCCTCTGCAGGAACCAGAGTGGTGACAGCAGGGGTTAGGGATATAGGTAGCATCTCACTGCTGCTCCAGAGTGGCTCAGTGTTGGTGGGATGGCATTGTCAGCAGGAGCCAAGGCTGTCCAGATCCAGGCCATGTGAGAGGTGCTGGCACCCAGGAATGTACTGTGCATGAGTGGTCTTGTGTGGGCAGCGTCTGGCCACCTTTGCTGTCTGTGACAAAGCTGTTAGCACCAGGGACCTAATGACTATCAATCTCGTGGGGAAGTTGATAGATGAGTTTGTAGATTGCTAAGGCAAATCATAGCTCAAACAAGGGCATCATTTAGCTAGTGACAAATGTATCAAACAGAAGATCACATAATTTCTAAAAATCAGCAGATGATTTGGAAACTATTAGGATGATTTATACTGCAATTTATATCACTAGATAAGCAGTTTTGGTACAGGTTTGTGAGTGTAAAAAAGCACAAAGTGTTTTTTCTGTTTTCTCACTCAACAACACTCAACACAGAAGACTTCTGGGACCAAATGTCGGGAGAATTTTCCCCACACACACACCAAACAAGCAAGCAGTTGTGCAGCAGACACCAGCTGGATATCCACACTATCTACCTGGAGATAGGGTTCGATAAATTTGCTAGAGCAGCTCCCAGAACTCTATGAAACACATTTACCAGTTTATTGCAAAGGATATTTTAAACAATACAGTAGAAGAGATACCTAGGGTGAGGTGTGAAAGGGTCTGGAGCCCAGGAGCTTCTGTCCCCATTGGAGTTGGGGTACACCATCCTCCCAACATGTGAATGAGTTCTTATTCACCTTCCTGTATGCCTTCATGTGTTTGGCTATCCAGAAGCTCTCTGAACCTTGTCATTTTGAGTTTTTATGGAGGCTTTGTTATATAGGTGTGATTGATTAAACCATTGGTTGTTGGTGATCAACTTAACCTTTAGCCACTTTGGCCTCCCTGAAGTATAGGGTTGGGGGGGATAGGGTGGGGTTGAAAGCCCAATCCTCTAATCATGCCTTGGTCTTTTTGGTGACCAGCCTCCATCCTGAAGCTACCTGGAGGCTGCCAGCCATCAGTCAACTCAACATACAAAAAACAATACTTTGGAGATTCTAAGGATTTTTGGAATTGTATGCCAGAAAAAGGGGTTGAAGACCAAATATATATTTTATAGTATCACAAGATTAATTTCTTTAGAGAATAAAAGGGAATTATTTTTAAAAATGTATTGATTTACATATTACTTTATATTTCTGTATGGTTTATAAAATATTTTTAATATCACTGCTGAAGATACCCAAGTCTATTAAGAGTGATCTGTTTATATAGTCCTCTCATTAAATCCTGTCTGAGAGGCTCCTGCAAGACTACTTAGAGCTACAGGGAGTAAGAACAGAGAAAGATGTGAATAATGGAGAAAGTAGAATAAGCTAACAAGGTAGCCATGCAGGCCTATTATTGGGGGCATTCTGAAAACTTCCAGAGAAGAATAATTTTAGGACTTTTAATTTACAAATTTAGTTCAATTCATTTGTGTCTTTTTTGGTATGTTGTCAGGCACTTTAATTCCTTTACCTCTGTGGTCCCCAACTCCCTGTCTGTGGCCTGTTAGGGACCAGGCCTAACAGGTCCCTCCCCACACTCCTGCCCCCATCAGTGGAAAAAATTGTCTTCCATGAAACTTAGGAATGGGGTGGGGGATGGGGTGGTGAGTGCACAGCAGGAGGGGAGTGGCGGGCTAGTAAGTGAATTTACAGCATCTCATGATTGCTCACATCACTGCCTGAGCTCCGCCTTCCATCCCCCCCAACACCTACCCCCCATCCCCCAACCCCGTCTTTGGAAAAAATTGTCTTCCATGAAACTGGTCCCGGTGCCAAAAAGGTTGGGGACCACTAACTACCTGATGTCTTTGGCTCTCACTCCATAGAGGGAGGTTAGTAGTGCTCTATTTTCTTCTTTCTTCCTTTGCTAAGAGGCCCAAGAAATTAGCTACCCCAGTTTTAGCTTGATTCTGTGAACTGTCAGATTGATGCTCCACAGATTAATATGGTGTCTGCTGAAGTTAGCAGAGTCTCAGGATACTCTTAGTCTCAGATTAAAACAATAGAACCTGAGAGAGTCTCAACCCCACCTCTAGAAGTATCCTCTACTTGAAGCTACCATTCAGCTGAATTCCAATTGGGGTATATTAGAAAAATTGCATAAATCAAGGTAGAGAAGAGCCACTTTTTACTATTTTACTATGTCCTTTTGCTTTGTTTATTTTGTCTGTTCTATCTGCCTTTTCTGCCTCACTCTTTCATGTCAGAATGATTTCAAAAGGAAAAGCCTTTTTCATTTGCCTGAAACTAGGCAGGTTACTTGGGTCCAGTTTTCTAGGAACTTTACAACTTAATTATAATAAGACAAGTGCTAGTGTTTTGTTGGTATACAGTCAATATCTGTTGAATGAATGAATGAATGAAAAAGATAGGTCTGACAGTTTCTTCTGAACGTTTTGTTTGTGTGATGAGCCTGGAACTTCAGAGGGGTATAGTCTAAGCCCTGGGCCTCTGGCTGACCAAGCCCTCCCTTAACTATCCTAATTTAAGTACTTTTAGGGCAGTGAGGATATGACTAAGTGAGACTTAGAACTTGAAGTTTATTAAGACATTGTATTTGGGCAATTTAGAGACCTCTAAACATCGGGGATTCCAAGGGCTAAGATCCTAGTAAATGAACATTGAATTTGTGAATTTAAAGTGAAAATGGCAAATGTAAAAGCTAGTACTCTTAAATGAGGCGTAACAGTTTATCTCTATAATATTGACTATTAAAGTGGACATTGAATGGTTTAATCAGGAATCCAAGCATACCTGGCTATAGAATGTATCAAATTAACATTGCTGTGAGAACTATAAGTTACATTTCCTGACAAATTGGAAAACCTAGGCCACAAAGTTTTTTTTAATAGTTTTAAAGTATATAATTCAGTGTTTTTTTTTTAGTATATTCACAGGATTGTATAACCAGCACCACAGTCTAATTTTAGAACATTTTTGACTTCCCGTAAAGAAATCCTGTACCCATTAACGATTACTCTCCATATCTCCCTCTCTCCCCTCTTCTCCGGGCCTAGATAATCACTAATCTACTTTTTGTCTCTATATATTTGTCTATTTGGACATTTTAAATAAATGAAATCGTATGTGGCCTTTTGTGACTGGCTGCTTTTATTTAGCATAATGTTTTCAGGATTCATCCATATTATGGCTTGTATCATTAATTCATTTCTTTTTATGGCTGATTAATCTTTTATTATAGGGATATAGTACATCATTATTCATCAGTCGATAGACATTTGGGTTGTTCACACTTTTTTTTTTTTTTTTGGAGACAGGGTCTCACACTGTTGCCTGGACTAGAGTGCAGTGGCGTCATTATAGCTTGCTCAAGTGGTCCTCCTGCATCAGCTTCCTGAGTAGGCTGGCTAATTTTATTTTTTATTTTTTGTAGAGACAGGGTCTCACTATCTTGCTCAGGCTGGTCTGGAACTCTTGGCCTCAAAAAGACATATGTTGTTGAGATGTGAATAACTGTATATTCCAATGATCTAGAATAACCCTGTCCGGTAGAAATTTTTGTAATGATAGAAAAGTTCTATATATTTTCGCTGTCCAGTATGGTAGCCATTAGCTACATGTGGCTATTGAGCATTTGATACATGACTAGTGCAACTGAGGAACTGAAGTTTTAATTTAACTTTTGATGTAACTAGAATTTAAATTAATTATAAATTAAATTTTACTTAGAATTTAATTTAAATAAAATAATTTAAATATAGAGATGTAAGGCCTTTAATTTTGTGTTTTTGCATCCTGTGTCTTCCACTTTGAACAGAGTAGTCTAATTCTGGCCCACTGGTTTATCCTTCTTCCCTGGAAAGATATTCAAGGGAAAGGTATCAGAGGTGCCTTATCGACTATTCACCTACAAGTAGTTATGGCTTCCTTTTCCTATTGATAAGGGGAATGGGTAGCATAAGCTGTGTGTGTGTGTGTGAGAGAGAGAGAGAGAGAGAGAGAGAAAGAGAGAGATTTATCTATTAGAAGGCTGAAGGTAGAAGTTCTATTTTTTATGTGTGTACATATTCATACCTAGTGGCTTTAGCAAAGCTGGCTCACTAAAGAAAGTGTATCTGGTGAGTTGCAGTATATTCTCAGGTTTACCTCAGTTTTTCTCTTTGTTACAGACGCTGCATTCAGGTAGTACACAAACTGCTTTGCTACCAGAAAAAGTGTCGAGTACGCCTGCATTACACCTGGCGGGAACTCTGGTCAGGTAACTTTCTTTCCTGAATTCATCTTCTTTTCTTATACCTTTTATGAGCTCCTAGGCTTGGGCTCAAGATGGATTTTTAAAAAATATTTTAGTTTGTTTAGGATGCCTCTATTTTCATTTATACTTTTTGTAATTTGTTTTGACATTTTAGCCTTTTTCTGATCCAGACCTGAGCATGTCACATATCTATTCTATACTTTCTGGCCTGTTCCTTCTCCTCCCTGTATTTTTTGTCCTCTGGTAGAAACAATTGAATATTTCTTGAGTTCCAATGATCTTTCCTTTGAGTTAGAGTGAGGGAGGAGGAGTCGGTACAAACTGGGATTCTCAATCGGTTCCATTTGGTAGCAGCATATGGACTATAGGGAAGCTTCTGTGTGTTCCCTCAAAATGAGTAGTATCAGGAGGACTTTCATAGGGAGAGGGGGTAGGGATGGTGAGATGGGGGGAATCCTGTTCTCTGTGTTACATCTGGCATTATTACTGTTTACAGACAGTGTTGATTTTACCACTCCCCCTATGCCAGAGACAAAACAGCAAATTACAGTGTTTACTTTTGTCTTTGTATCCATTTTGGTAGCCCAGTAAAGTTGCTGCCTTCTCTGCAGGCGGGAGGTGGCTCCTCTCTAAGGGTACAATTAATGCTGGCTTGCCACCCCTTTCCTTTGTGTGACTAAATTTGAGGTTTTAGGAAAGCAGAGGAGACATGTTCCCTGAAGCAGTCCCTTGCTGATAGGTCCTGTGGCTTTTGAGACCTGATGGTGCAATAAAGTCTTCTCCAGATGGTAATACTGATGAATGGTTACTCACACATGGAAGAGCTTCTCTGTATTTTCAGCAGAGTAGGGTGTGTTAGCGTCAGAGGCTTTATAAGAAACAGGTCAGTAACCCAGCCCTCTTCCATGGAATTCATCTCATTTGTTATGACACATGGTTTCCTCCCAACCCAGTTTGCCTTTCTAAATTTAGTCCTCCATAATGGGAAGTAGAGATCTTTAATTAATGGATTAGCAAGTTCTTTACATTTACTGCCTGTGTTGGTGAAGGGGGAATAGGAGAATAACACTAAGTGGCAATAGTAGTGGCATTTTGGTATTTTAGGAGAGGAGTATGATTGTGTGAGAGTTTGAGATTGAAGGACTGTTAGTAGAGTTAAAGAGAGATCAAAAGAGATTGAAATGACTAACATTAGCAGAATTTCTTAGGTAGAAACAATTCTTTTTAATATAAAGGGCTACTGTTGTTTCTTATGGATAGTTATGTGATTGTTAGGCTCTGAATGCCTAGGATTAAAAAGAAAACACAAAAATGATGCAAATCTGTGAATGTTGGTACAGTTATAGAACTTACAACGAGTACAAATGGTTTATGTCTATAACTTGGATGAAGTAACACTTCATAGTACTAATCAGTTGGTGGTAGTAGTTGTTCCTGCCTGCTTCTTCTGATTCTATTCTGGTTTTATTTTCTCTTTCATTCTGTTTCCTTTCAATCCTAGCTATCCTGTCTCTGGCCCCTGTGATCTCTTTGGCTTTTCTCCCATTCTCATTATCTGTTGTCCTCTTCCTCTTTGTCCTGTTCCATTGCCTTTTCCATAGTGCCTTCCACGTTCATCCCAGTCTGTCTCCTGAGTCCCAGGGCTTCCAGTTACTTTCCTACGCCCATGTTGTATCTTTGTCCTCTCGATGAATTGACCCTTTTATCATTGTGAACTCTCTCTCCTGTCCTTTTGTTACTGTTGCCACACATTTTATTTTTACATATGTCATAAACCTCAAAATGCATCACCATCATTTTTGCTTAAACAGGCAATTATCTTTTGGAGAGATTTAAAAATATGCATTTAATATTTATCTTTTCTAACTCTGAGTATTGTGCCATTTGGCTAGGAAATTGTGAAGAAGGTGATCATTCTTTATCCTGTGTTGGTCAGTTGACTTTATGCTTCGGGAACTTTCTGTCATGTTCAGCTCTGTTTGTAATTATGTGCTATCTCAGAACTGATTGGTTGGCATTCTAAGGCCCTTGATGGATTGAGGGGTGGTGTATACGAATGTCATTGATGAGGCCGGGACTGCTGCTTATTCCTAAAGCAGAGACATTTGTACTGGAATTCTCTGCCAAGTGAGGTTAGCTCCTTTTACTGTATAGACTGAGTGAACCCTCCTGGAACCTTGGCTCCATGTGTTCATATGTGGAGTGTACAGTGAGATGTACAGCAGCAGGTGTTAAGGAAAGCTGCAAAATACAACGCTACATCCGATGCAGTCAGAGCCCATAATAATGTATAATATTGCATTCAGTGAATACAAGTGTGGCTATGGTGGATACACCCACTCCTTGGCTGGCGCTACTCCTCATATGTTGGAATACCCATGTTTTCACTCTTTCTTTTCCTTCTAGACTTATGGATTTGAGGGAGATGTGTGAAACTCATCATGGCAAATATACTTATGTATATATATCCTTGCCCATACATGTGCTGCAAATTGTATATGTACTGCCAAAGCAAGCCATGTGCTGCAAATTGTAATTGAATTTTATTTATAAGTAAGACTAGTAATGCATGTGCTGTTAGCTCAGACATACAGATGCCCTTGGGTATCTAGGAAGCAATGGGCTAGGGTCCAAATGCCTTTTGTTGTTTGGAATGTGGGCGTTTAGTATCACTGTACTTCAGTGCTGATTTTTATTCTTATGTTTATTGATTATAATAGCTCTTTGTTATTGGGGAGGCAGCCAGAAGTCCCCAAATTCCCATAATTCCAAGCATGGTCTTATGGATGAACAGGAGCCAGTTGTGTCAGTTGGGGGTTCAAGCTTGCCTAATATGCCTTTCTTACTGTTGGTTTTACAGATATAAGCCCTGACCTACTCCCTGTTTCCACTATCTATTTATATGATGCCTGTCACCATGGTATCTGAGTATGTAGGGAAATATATTTAGGCTAACTTTAACTAGAATATGGAAAAGAAGAAGTCCTACCTCTCTGCATTGCTCTTTTTTCAGTAGTCACTATTTTTCACCAAGTTATAGAAAGGTTGAAAGCTATTCTCTGACCTCTAGACTACCCAGATCTCCTAGCCTGAGTAAAAAGGTAGCTCTTAAAAGTTTCCTCTGATTAAGATAGAAAACTGGGTTTTGGGCTAAGATCCAAGTGAAATAGTTCTTTACTGTTGAGAATAGAATGAAAGCTATGGTCATCTTTATGTCCAGAAAAATGTCCATTTGCACATATATAATTTCAGGGAGTTTCTGGACCCTCTGAAGCCCATCCATGATCCCATGTGAAAACTCCTGTCTTAATTTTATGTTCCACAACCTCCCAATTAATTCTGTTCTCATAGAACATTTTAGTATCTAGTTAAATATTTTTTCCTTATTTATTGGTCGTACTGCATGCCTATAATCCCCTCTGAACTTCTTGAGGCTATAGACCATTTTGCTCACTGTTTTATTTTTTTAGGTGTTTCTCTATCTTAGCATATCACATTGTTTTGTTATGTTTGCATATGTTTGTACAATGATTAGCTTAAATATCCATCTTTCCTCTAAAAAAGTTCCTAGAGGGCGGGACCTGTATTTTAGTCATTGTTTTATTCCCAGCAGACTACTTGGCTTTTTAATAGGGACTCAGAAAACATTTGAATGAATAAATAAGTAGATTAACGAATATATAGAATTTCCATTAATGATGAATCAACATTCTCCTAAAGTAGCATAATGTTGTGTTTCAGCCTCATAATAGTAATAATAACAATAATAATAATAGAACCCAGTAGGATGTTTGTGGTTAAATGTTTCTGTTGAGCTGACTTCATCACCTTTGATAAGGGCCAGCCATCCAAATTAGTTTTATTTGAGTTGATGTGAAAGGAAGTAGTGGGTAATTTCTCTCTTCTTTGTCTCTTTTCTTCCTTAATCACAGATGCATGGATTACCTTTAACCAAGTAAAAATGGAAACTTTGATGGTTTCTTTTTTTTTTTTTTTGAGACAGAGTCTCACTCTTTTGCCCTGGCTAGAGTGAGTACTGTGGCGTCAGCTTAGCTCACAGCAACCTCACACTCCTGGGCTCAAGCAATCCTTCTGCCTCAGCCTCCCGAGTAGCTGGGACTACAGGCATGTGCCACCATGCCCGGCTAGTTTTTTCTATATATTTTTAGTTGTCCGATTAATTTCTTTCTATTTTTAGTAGAGACAGGGTCTCGCTCTTGCTCAGGCTGGTTTCGAACTCCTGAGCTCAGACAATCCGCCCGCCTCGGCCTCCCAGAGAGCTAGGATTACAGGCGTGAGCCACCGCGCCCGGCCTATGGTTTCTAAGCTATTAACCAAAGAATGAGCAAAATGTTCAGAGAGAAGCAGGTAGTAGTTGTTGGAGAGGGAAACACTTGAACAGAGTTTCATGGAGTCAGCTTATTTTTTTTCCACTGCAGAAGAACGGGTATTTCAGAGGCAGCCTGCGTTTAAATAGTGTGACTTTCCACAGTCTGAAAACATGGGTTGATTTAAAGGCAGATTTATACTGGCATTTTATACTTGACATTTATCCATGGATCACAGTTCTTCTTACCCTTTTACTCTGCCACATCCCCAAGTGATAAGTCATTATTTTTATCTCCATTTGTTGTGGGGGAAGGGAGTGGAGATATGGAAGGGTTAAGTGATTTGCTAAGGATCATGGAACCAGACACTAAACAGAGTCATGATTAGAACTTAGAGTTCCTGACTCCTATGCTCAGATGCATATCACTAGGCAACATTTGCCTCCCTGCAGGAAGAAAGGCCCCCAAAGCCCCCAGAACAATCTGTTCAGCTTCACTGTGCTAAATAGCATCCAAAGCATTCACAACTTTGTAAAAAGAGAGAAATTGTACATGGCTTGACCTTTTAGATACCTACTGGGAAAAATGGAAAATCTAGAGAATATCACAGTGTTCTGGATCCAGCTGGCTCTCCCATCACTGGCAGAAGCCTGTGACTTCTTGGTTAGGTACATC